CTACTGCTACTACAACAACAACTGCTGCTGCTGCTGCTGCTACTGCTACTACTACTGCTACTACTACTACTACTACTACTACTACCAAAACTACTGCTACTACTACTGCGACTGCTCCTGCTACTACTACCCCACTACTACTACTACCACTACTACTACTACTACTACTACTACTACTACTACTACTACTAGTGCTACTTCTATTACTAGAACAGCAGCAACAACAGTTGCTGCTGCTGCTGCTGCTGCTGCTGCTGCTGCTGCTGCTACTTCTGCTACTACTACTGCTGCTGCTACTGCTACTGACTGCCACTTTAGCAACAGGCAGAATCAACATTTCATCGTGAATCGATGGCTTCTGCAAAGCCCAAACAATGCATGTGCAGCAGACGTTGCCGATGTGTTGTTCGGACAAAAGAAGCATCTGCAAGTCTACTGGCCAACACGCAGAAACCATCAGAAACCGGTGCTTCACCGTGTCGTGTGATTTGATGGGGTCTGTAAAAGCGCACACATGCATCTACATGCATCTGCAGCATCGCAGGCATGAGACGGCTGTAAAGTGTCGTCGTCACAGAGACATAGCTGATGCCTTGAATAATGCATCCGCAAGGCCTGGCCTTTGAAACAACTAGAAACGCCGTAATTTGATGGGTTCTGCAAGGCCCCGAATATGCATCTACAGCGTTTCAGGCCTGTGAAAGCAGTGCTGGAAGACTATTATTACTGACATTAGCCCTTTGGGCACCTGACGGTGCCCCAGAAATAAACGCACGGCCCCGCGAGCCGAAGCCCCGCGACCACCTCCGTATTCACCCGCTCTTCCGCTGTGGCAGGAGGCAAGGTGCAGCAACGGACCTGGTCTCCATCACCGTATCACTTGGTGTTTTTCTGTCCTACTGGGTGATCGAGCAGATGCCATCATTTTCTCAGTTCCAGTTCGAGGTGCGGTTCAGCTTATGACTTATGACATCTCATCTCATCTGTTATGCAAGGCTCCAAGTGCCCTGATAGCGATCCAGTCTAAGCGGCCAGGACCTGCAACATCCGGACACACGAGTGGCTTGGTTCAAAAAGCTCGATCCAGACACGGTTACCGTCCTTCACCTTGACCTTTCTCATCTGTCTGCCCCTCCCAGGCAGCCGCCTATGTTTCTCTGTGCGAGGTTGCTTCAAGCCTGCAGGACAGCTCGGCCCTATAATGCACATCAATGCACTATGCAGACAGCGTAGAAGCACCGCTTCAAGCACCATCACTAGATGCTCAAGCTTCAAGCAACCACGCTTTAAGCAACCACACTTCAAGCCCTTTCTTGAAGCACCACGCAACTACCTTAAAAGCAATCAACCAACGGCACTAACACTCTGTGCCTGTTCTTGCTGCCCCACCCAACTCATCCTCCCCTGCCGGATAGTTGGTGGGTAGTGTTTGAAGGCAGGGTGCAAGAGAGGCATGGGATGATGGAGCATAAGATGAAGACGGTGTTCAGAATCGAAGTGGTATACCGCATGCGGCAGTGTAGGGAGGGTAGCGCAGAGCCAAAGCTAATGAGGGAGCTAACATCTGCGTTGAGGAGCACAACGGTAGAAAGGGGAAGGAGCGAAGCAAAAAAAATGAAGCTGCTGATCATCGACGCCCATGCTGTCCTGGAGCAGAGCAGGGCGAGGGTACCGAAAACAGTGTTTAGCCGGTCGGGGAAGTGAGTAATAGTGAGTGAGGTAGGTGCCCGTTTCTGTGTTTGAAGCACCCCTTGTTGGGTCCATCTCGCCCGGTGACATTGCACAAAACGCGACGTTTTTTTCGAACACGTTTCGGGACACTTTCCGCGGTCAGAACTGTTTGGTCGTTGGGGCTCGGAAGCAAGTCTGACCGCTTCGGCCGTGGCCACATACCACTATCACTTCCTGTACCACTACCAGGTCACTACCACCGCCACCACCGCCACCGCCACCGCCGCCGCCCCCATCCCCTCCGCAACCACTACACCCAACCCCCCGCACCACCGCCACACCGCCACCACAGCCAGCACAGCACCGCCACTGCCACTGCCACCACTCGGAACTTCACGAGACCCCTCTGTGTGCCAAGCCTTCTGGACGGGAGTCATCAGATCGACACCGGCATTCTCATGTCCTTAGTTGAGGCAGTCCCCAAGCCGCGAGGGTATTGTGGCTTATGCTTGGATGCCACCCGAAATCCCGAACAGCAAGAAACGACCTATAAGGGATCAACTACCGTGCTGGCTGGGATTCCAAGAGCTTGACGACCATAGCTGCGCCAGGATCAAGGTCTTCTCATTGATGCTTGGTGGCACATGCCGATGCTCGTGTGCTGCAAATGTACAAGTCTGTGGCACTTTTCGACAGCCGTGCCCAGGCTCTCAACCTGCTTGTGGTGAGTGCAGGTGCCTCAGGCTGACCAAGTGCGAGGGGAGTAATCATGGATTGGGCTTTGTGCCAAGTTGAGAACCGTGAGCCTCGTGTCCGGCTTGCACAGCAACCTCGGTCTCATACAGCAGGTCCCGCCCGGCACAGATTTCTGAGCCTACGGCTGTCTCAAGATTCTCACTGACTCATTAACACAACGATCCCATGTGCGCAGCCAACATCGAACAGGTTCTTCATGTCTCCCTGCCGAATTTTGTGGCCTTCTTTGGCATGTTCATGATGCTACAGGCCAGATTGCAGTCTACCCGCCAAACAGACAATCTGTGACATTTCAGGCCGGCTTTGTGCTCATGAGCTTCTTCGCATTCGGATCCGGGTGCGCCTCCACCGCACTCACCAGTTTCACCCGATGTTGACGGGGCATCATGCTTGTGTGCTCGCAGTGTGCTCGTCACAAGACAAATACGGTTTAAGTGGCTGCGCCAACAGAGTTCAAATGGAATTGGGACGAAACTGAATTCCAAACTTCGAGACAGGTAATGACATAGTCCATGAAACGGAACCAATCAGCAAGGTGCCATAGAGATGCGTAGACTGCCAGTTCCAGGCTGTATGCTGTTGAAAGCTTTATTGTAGGCGTGTGTCAAGAGTCTCATTTGATGACAGCGGCAACGTTTTTCGCACATGCAAGGCACTCTTCGCGCCCGTCAGCGCCCGCTGACGCTGTTTTCCCTGTCCCCGCTACAGCAGCAGTAGGTTTCCTTTGCCAAGCAAAGCAAAACTAACTAAGCTCTAGCTAAGGAAGCAAAGCAAAGAGAGATGAGGGGCCAACTAATGCCGCTGCAAATTACGTGCCCGTAGATGTTGCTGCTTGCCCAAGTGATCTATGATTTTGTCTGCACAGGTCTACATACAACGCATGTCATGGGCCCACATAGAGTTCCGATAGTTTGCCCAAAGTCGTTGGTCCTGTCTGCAGGTATTTGGGGATGAGTGACATCGGCCTCTGCATCTACAAAAGCTTTGCGATGCTGACCGGTGACATGGTGTTGCCCTCACCAGCGCCAAACAGAAGCTGTCGTGATCTGTCGTGCTTCGCGCTGGCGCTCTAGCTAGTAGGATTCTGACGAACACAGGTTTTCGATGACATCTACCGGGTGGATGAGATCTTGGGCATCATTTACTTCTTTGCCGAGCTCTCACTTTTCTGAAGCCTTTCCACTTGCTTCATGTTGAGTCTTCCTAGTCACTCTCGGATTCTTCCACCTATTTTGGTCTCTCTGTCTTCGCGATCGGTCGCGCTCGCTCCCCCCTTCTCGAAAGTCTCTCTGTCTCTGTATCTTTCATCCTCCCGCTCTCTCCGCCTCCCCCGTCCCGCTTTCCCCACTCTTTGCTGATGCATGATGCGCATTGCCCAATCATAACGGACTAGACTGCTTCCTGGCAGATGACTAAGTTTTTCTACATCCTGTTCTACTTGGTGCTCATAAACATTTTTGTGACCCTGCTGATGAGCGGCCAGCCTTGCATGGCTTCGCACTTTGTATCAGCAAGCAGGCTTGCGACCCATCGTGTTTGTCTGTGGCAGGTTATGATGTCGTTGACTATGAGCTGCAGAAGAGGGGCCTGAATGAAAAGGTGCACATCATGCTGTTGTGACACACGGTCAAAGCGGCGAACAATAATGTGGGTCTTTGTCTGTCACTTTTGGACTTTCGCTGTGGGAGGAACAGAATCCGATCACTCTCATCTTCGAAGAGCTCAAGGCAGACGTCGTCGCGGGCTAAGGCTGCGGCGAAGGTCACTAGGTGAGAGATGTGTTGTGATTCTGGATCCTGCCGTCGCTCACTGACGTGCGAGAGTAGCAGTGGGCGTCTGTGTCTCCCTGTCCCCCTCTGTTGATGCAGGAGTTTGCATGCACTGTAGAGTTTGCGGCAACAAGAACGATCAGGTTGGAAACATTTTGAAGTACGGTGCCACGGTCATCAAGTTTCTTGGCATCACCTCCAGGGGTAGCAGTCGGGTGACCGCATTACCGAAGTTGACAGGTATGCAACGATTTGCCTGGACCCTATTGTTGTATCCATCAAGGCCCGTGTCTCTGGCAAGCGAAGTCTGAGCGATCCTTCCTACGGGCCATGCCCGGCCAGGCATGCTTCTTTTGTTCCACGCCAAGCTTTCTGACCTCGGGAGTCAGGCCGCAAGGGGCACAGAAGCTTTGCATTGACTCAGACATCAGCGTATGTGCAGGACGAAGCAGCAAGGAGCTCAGTCTCCCAGATGTCTTGTGCGAGATGCAAAGCTCAAGATTCATGTCCCTTGCTTCCCAGACGCACGGCTGGCGCGGCAGATGTTCATGACGCACAAGCTCAGAATTCAGAGGTTCCTGATGCCGCCGTGGTCGTGGTTGTAATTTTAACGCTTCGCCGCCCGCCTCGGCTGCTGAGGGCCAGAAGGCACGGAAAGCTGCGGCTTTGCATGAGTAGTCTACTGGGGGGGGG